TTTATTCACTTCTTTTAAATTCCATATTTCTCAACCATAGAAAAGCATACGGAACGTGCCCATCTTGATGACTCTGATCTTATTTTCTGTTGTTAGTGTTTCGCTTCTGCATATATTTCAAAGAAGATAGTGATCCAACTACTTTGGTGATTCTTTGTTTAACATCTTTCGAATAGCCATTATCCTATGTTATTAGAATTCCAAGGTATTCATATTTTTCCACAGTATCGATAGTTTCGCATGCAATGTGAGAATGTCTATCGATGTTTTTATAACCGAATATCATCGATTTTGTTTTTCGTGTGTTTATTTTCTATCGTGCTTTCTCGACATTTTGTTTTACTTTTCGGATATGCTGATGGAGTGATTCACATTCTTCAGTTAGCAGATCAGTGTCATCTGCGAATCGCAGGGTATTTTCTTGTAATTCTCCTCATATAAGGGGTACGACAGATCTTGAGATAGATCTGGATTTAGATTTGGAGTTGTATGCAATATTTGAATTCAGGTTTGAATTTGCAGTTTAAGTTTAAATATAGGTTTCGATTTATTCACCATTTGTATAATTCCAAAGGATTTGGTAAGATATGGGTGTAGTTAACAATAGTTTACTGTACTTGGCATAGAATAGATCCAGAAACAAGAGTTTGACATGTAGGACCAGATTCAGAGCCAAACACAAACGATGTGAGACCAAACCCTAAAATCTTTTTTTGCTTCTAATCCATCCATAATCGGATAGATTCTAGTGTGGAACACGATATCTTACCAAATCCCTTGTAATTTGGGTCAATAATGAAAAAATTTAAATCAAATTCAAACCTATGTCCAAATACAGACTACAAAATTCAAATTTAAATTTAATTTCAAATCTAAACCCGATGATGCCAAACCCAATCTGTTTGAGTTTGTTGCATCCCTACCTTCTATTGACTCCGAGTACTTCGTTCTGTTACAGTTACTGTAATATATCGGGGTGTACATTTTTCGTTATCTGCATGCATAGATGATAGATGAGCAGTCATAAGCTCAAGCATATAGTGGTTAAAACAATTCTTGCTGTTTAAAGAAGCATGTTAAGATTCAGTGCCTCTCAGAACCCTTTTCAATGAAAGCTTCTTACTATTATTAAAACAAACACTTTCAAAAACACAATGTCATTGTCGACGGCTTGATACAAATGTTGAGTTTTTAGTTTCTCCAAACTTCTTAATAAGAAGAATTAGAAAAGCTTGTTTAATATAACAAGCTCTGAGATCCTCAGTCAAACAAAAAATATCAAATCTATAGAGTGAGTCTGAATAGTGATCTTCACTTTGCCGAATAGGATTTTATTTTACCATGGTTATTTAATGTCTCTCTGAAATGCCTTGATATAGGACTGAAGATTTTATCACAAATTCTCCAATATAGCTCACACAGGTTTTGGAAATTTCATGTCGGTAGAATAGATCTATAGGAAAAGTTTCTCGACAGAGTGGGGTGTGATAGGTTAAAATAATTCAGGAGTGAATGAATGTGTGCCACATTACATAAATTAAATCAACTTGTCTGTGCTTAACAACAGCATCTACATCGTGTTTCATATTTTTCATTCCGTAGGGATTGCAATAGCAGCTATTTTGGGTATTGGTACTGAAAACAAGCCTGCCCATTCTTCAGGCATTTTTTCTTCTTGCCATACTTTGCAGTATAGTTCATGAACTTTTCGAAGAAGGCTGTCACCTTCGGATTGAAACATCTCAGTTGTGATTCTGTCAGTGTTGGAAATTTTGTGCCTTTTAAGAGAGCGTATAGCTTCTTCAACTTCGGAATATAAAATATCCTCGGCGTCTTCATTAACTGAAGGAACTACTGACTCAAGTACTTTCACCACTTCATCTACGTACCCTGATCTATCGATAGATCACGACATTTTTGTACCCGTTTCTGTATCGTGGGTTCTTGTCACTGCAGCATGTTGCCATTTTGTTCCTTCATCATTGTTATTTTTGGTACATCTTCTTTAGCATATTTATTGCGCTGTAAGCCTGTTTAGTGCAGCCGATTTTCATCGTTTTTTCGGAATTTTTCAGCTTTCTTACATTGACTTTGTATCCACTTCTCTTTGCCCTGTCTTGCTGACTTCTTGAGACGATTAGACAGGATTTTCTAGTTCTTAGTATAGCCCACAGACTGATGTTTTATTTGTTTTTATTTCCTTTTTTCATCAGCGAGACTCAAAGTACGCTAAGATATCCAAGGTTTGTTAGCTTTTCTTTTCGGAATTACAGTTTCAGTCAATGCGTCTTTGATTTCATTTCCGATGTGTACTGTACGCTCATCAGAGTTGCAATATGAGGGAATATTCTTAAGGCTGTCATTCAATATGTTTTGAAAAAACTGTTTTATCTGTGGTGGACGGGTGCGAGTAGAGGTGTGGATGTGAGTACGACTAGTGTCTTCGTCGACACCCCATTGGCATACCACGCACACCCATTCCAAAAGGTTGGTTAACACTAACAACGTTCTTGTCATATTTGGGAAATTTTGATGCCGGAAATCTAGAACTACTGTTTGAGCAAAACAAAGCATGCATACAACCGAATACGATACTGTCTGACGCAGGGTTCGGCTTTCAATAGGCTTGTGTTCATGGCTTCTGTAAAATGAGCCGGAGTGTCTTTTATATTTAGACGACGACGTGGAAGACTTTATAACATACCTCTAACTTTCGTAAACAGATCCTAGTAACTCACCTTCCTCACGTTTTTAAAAAATTTGCGATCAGATGAACAAAACTCAGTACTGATGTTTGCCGCAATACAGCTGCTAGGTAAAAGTGTCGACATGAATCTCAGATCTTCTGGTCACTATCATTTAGACGAAGTCAATGCAACATTCTTTGAAACTCTGTAGTTGTAAAAAGCCATGAGCAAGTCATTAAATTAACTTTTTGATTTGAGGTGTTTCTTTTTGGTATAGAAGTAAATTAAAAATGAGTTGAAGATAAATTTACATAAGTTCTAATCGAGCAAAATAAGACCTTATTTTTTATTACATATATTCTGACAGTGCAGTTGCTCAAAAACTAAAACATTGTCAAAAACTCCATTTGTAAATTACACCTGATTCAATTTATTGAATAAAAACGACTTTAAAGAATGTTCCATAAGAACTGTCTCCGTGTTGTTAACAGTATTTATTTTATTTCTTATACTGTTTTTCGACGCAAAGAGCTGAAATTCTTACTACATAACGAGTGCGGCAAAAATAATGGCCGACTTTTGATAGGGCCGTGTTCTCAAATTAGACTGGATGGGAAAATTTGCGTTCTCATGTCAAAAGATACAGAATTTTGTGTAGATTTTATTGATATGTTGTTTGTGAATTGAGCATTTGTTCTTCTCTTGTAATATTAAAAGTACTGGAATCTGTAAAAACATAATTTGCTCAGCATGTTTACGGGAATAAAGAGTTAGTTTTGATTATTAAATGGTTTTACATATACTATTGAAATACAATATTACCAAGTACAGAGACGTAACTGTATTTGAGATCCAATACCAAAATCTTTCGATGAAATCTCCTTATTCAAAAAACCGCTTGCAAAAAATGCCTAACTTTCCATTTTTGGTGCCTTTTCATGTCAGGCAAAAGATTTCAGCCTCATTATTAGTTTAGAAAAGGAATTCACCTCTCATAATGAAGAGCATTTTGTAAAGCTTGAAATTTTGCATCTATTGACATAAACAAAGTAGTTTTATAAAACCAAGTTTTTGAGAATACTAGCAACAAAAAGTACGATTCCATTGGTCGAGAGTATTTTCTTCATGTTTGGTATCTCTTGAAGGAGAAACAATTAAGCTTAAAAAAGAAAACACTAATAGATGCATTGAAAAATTCTGCATCGCTTACTAACAAGAAGAAGTTTTTGAACTATAATTAACAGGACAAAAGTTTCAGTCAAAAATGTCTCATTTTGCAGTTGAGCAAATGATGTTTTATAGCATCCAGTACCTTTAATATTACAGGAGAAGGATGAATGCTCATTTTGCAAACAATATATCAACAAAATCCCCACAAAAGTCTGTATGTTTTGACATCAGAACGAAACTTGTTTCATCCAGTCTCACTCGAGAAAACAGTCTATCAAAAGCCGACCATTATTTCTGCCGCACTCGTTATATATTCACTAATGTCCTTTAGTTTCTAAAAGTTTCAGCTCTCTAGCTACAATTAGTGGCAAACTGCATTGGCAAGATTGAAATACGTCAATTTTAGAATTTGATTGATTTTCAATATTCTTATTATGAAAATATTACACAATTATTTTGGTAAAAATATTTCTCAAATTTTATATAAGATTGACGGTGCTGTAGTGAATATTTATCGTAAAAACGGAGAACGTAAGAATTTTTTGATAGAAATATCGTATACAATGTTCAATCAAGATTTATTCATAATATTCGCCTGAATCTGAGTAACTGTTTATAGGCTTTGGTAGAGTAAATTTTTCTCTACAGAGCCTATTAGGTCATATTTCTTCAGAATTACAGTCACTTTGAAATATTTTAATGAACTTTTCCTTAAATTTTAAAATAATCAGCGAAAAAAAGCTCTATCAAGTCCTATACTTAAAAAAGATTTGCTGAATATTTCGTGAGTTTTTGCTTGACTAAACACCGAATTATCGGGTAATATTTTCATAATAAGAATATTGAAAAAAAAATCAAATCCTAAAATTGACATATTTCAATCTTGTCAATGCAGTTCGCCGCTAGTTTTAGCTGAAGAGCTGTAATATTCAGAAACAAAAGGACATTAGTGGATATGTATGTGGTAAAAATTTCAGCTCTTTGCGTCGGAAAAAAGTATAAGAAATACTGGGCTAACAAAATGGAGACAGTTATTATGAAATACCCATTATGAAAAAAACACATAGGACTGATGTGATAAGTTGAGCACATTCAAAATTCGTTGGTTGTCAAATAGAAAGTCCATATAAATAGTAGAAACAATTATGGCAACATAAAATTTTGTTCAGGTAACATTGTTCTTCTGGCACGTTCCATACGACTAAACAAAAATTCTATTATTCTTAAAAAAGGAAATCATATGCATTAAATTGCATAAAAGTAATATTCATAAAGCTTGCCAATTATATATGACCACTTATAAGTCAATCTATCGAACTCAGAATGAACATATTAATATCACATCAGTCTCACTATTCTTCGTAAGAAAATAGATGAAACAATCTTATATGATTTCCTTATTGAGGGCTTCTTTTTATAAGTCAAGTACAGATGTTTCCTTTTGTGTAAAAAACTGAACTAAAAAATCAATGATCCCTGTCACAAATCAAAGTTATTTATCTAAAGTAAATTTTGTGTACTCAACCTGCCATAGATTTTTAATTTAATTATATAGACAGTGGTAATTATTTAAAAACATCTCACAAGATGTCATAGGTGATGATCATTTCTGAATATTTGAAATTTGTATGATCTTCATTGCTTAACCAGCAACAATATAATAGAATAACATACCGATTTTTGACAAATAAGCGCAGAGCACAAGAGGATGTAAATATCAACAGACATATCAAAATAATCGTCGTAGTAAGACCTAAAAATCAGAAACATACTATAAATGACATGAAATGAGAATTGATCTTTTCCTATACTAAAAATGCAATAAATAACTTTTCGAATTTGGAAAGCTAGCAAGTAAAGCCCAGAAATTGCAGTAAACGATATTGTCAGACATTAACAATATATTCAGGTTAGTTTTAGAAAGGCATATTATCGATTCGCACAATAGTAGTACGATACAGCTTTATTTTGATGAAAATCTTTGTGCGTTCTCTACAGTAGCGGCAGTAAAAATATTACGAAACGATTTCGATACCCGATATCTGATAAAGATTCTTGTTAATATTTTCACATGGAAATATTCCAGTTTTGTTCTGCAGCCAAAGACAATATGAATATTCTGCTTTGCTATTGTTATAAATTTTACATGACTCAAAATCTCGAACAAATATCATACAATATTTGTACCAAGTATTATAACACTGAACTTTTTCAAGATAGTTTTCGTCTTTACAAGATATATTTTCGTGGCAATGTTCATAATCTTTGCCTATAAAATTCATATATAATTGTGCTGCATAATATTGATCTTTGGAGGATATTTCTTCGTTTGTCTTAGTCGAAAAATTGTCGTTAGTATATGATGAATCGATTTTATAAAGCATAATACTGTCACTAGAATATAGAAGGCTGTATTGACAAAAGAAACATTATTAATAAATAAATAAATAAAATCTGTATGCTCTCTTAAATATGACATATAGTTGTAATTCTGACTGAACGGGATTCACTAAATATTCTTATAAAAATGGATTAATTCTTTAGCTGAATTTACATTTAAGAATGACTTGATATTTAATATCAAGAGTGTCTGAAGCACATATGTGACCCAAATGTTTGATAAAATTAATAAATAAATGTGGAAACCTTGGATCTAAATCCGAGAGTTATGTGTACTTCAAAAAGTGAATTAGACAGATGAGTCATCCTAGAATGTATGGATGTCAAAATTATCCTCGCAAACCTTTCTATAAACAAATGAATTCTATTGGCTACTGCTCAACCAATAGGATTTAGGGCTGAATACAGCTCAGATTTGAACTCTTCGCATTGAATTACCCTAAGAAAGTCGTTTTTCCTATAAATTGATTTCTATTGGTCGCTGCTCAACCAATGGTATTTCGAGACAAGTGGAGTACAGATTCGAGTTCTCCGCCCCAGAAAACCTCGAAGTACCATCTCTGTGATCGAAAGATAGAGCTCGAATTGGGGATCAATCAGAGCGTGGACAAAAACAGAACCGAATTCCGTTTAATTATCTTTGCAATGGCTGAGTTGGCTTTCTTGTTTCTTTATGTTTTATATACCATTTTGTAGCTCGTGAAATTTACTATAGAATGGTATATAATAGTTGGGGTTTTATTTGACTATGATAGGAAAAGTTGTTCACGAAAGCGGGAAGGGGTCGATTTTCGCATAGGAAGGCATAGGGGAAAATAAATATTTTTGCAATAGCTCAGGAACGGCTCGGCCAATCATTCTCATCTTCGAACTCGACCGACATAACGTTGAGACTAAATTGTGTAGAAAATTTCATCGCGATCTGAGTCTCCTTTCAAAAGTTATCGTTTAAACGGCCGGACAGACGGACACACTGACCGATTCTAGAGTGTACTCACTTTTTGAGTACACAAAAATGGAATATGTAGTATTGTCACGATTAACGCAAACGATTTTACACTCTTTAATTAAAATTGAATCAATTCGATTTTAAAGCAACTGCCTAACTAATGAGGAGTTTTATACATATGATCAACGTATAGAAGACTATTACTATTCTGTTTGATCATGTCTTATTCGAAAGCAATCTGCAGCGGACATATAATATATTATAACTTACGTGTCAAATGTTCCTAAGCTTTTATTTAAAGGGAATTTTCTCAGATAATTTTTCTTAATAAAGTTGAGTGTCATCGCTGGGTTAATAGATCCATCAGTAAAAGCTTTTTTCCACGATATATTTGCCAGCGCATGAAAATGTTCATGATTGAATCCAATAGAATGTCCTCCTTCATGCGATATCTCACGTTTTGTGTTGAATGCAACGGTCAGAGATGGACCATGAGTTTTCTGATAGTCACGAAATATTTTACTAGATTTCACATCATACGAAAAAAGAGCTGAACTAGATCCAATAAGAGACCATGATTGTTGATTGTCTAGTCGAAATCCTACTCGAATATCAGCACCGTGATTAAGCGGAACTTCTTTGAAGTGAATATGAGTAGGTAAAAACCATTGAAAATATATTCGACGAAAGTATAACTGTTTTTCTTGATCACCATTCACAAATGCTAAAGTGACATCTTGATTTTTCCAAAGTAAGTCTGGTTCATACACAAGATCACCGATATGATCAACATTTGCATATCCAAGTAAGTTGATTTTCATCAGATAAAATAATGTCAATAAAAACACTAGTTTCATCGTTGTTTTTATTAATATATAGCAAAAAATTACATTGATAAAAAATCTATTTATACTGTTCAGAATATTAATATGTAGATAGTAATTGATAATACACCTAAAAAAATAGAAATTGAGTCTCAAATCGTGAAAAATAATAAATAGGTATATTCTTTAGGTGAAAATAAAGTATCAAATGCATTAATTACTGACTAAAAATAATAGAACTGTCTTTTCTTTTTGACTTGTTTTAGTAAAAAAAACCTTTGTCGAATGTATTTCACACTGTATGTACTCAGGTTTTGGCGAAAAATAAGCGTAAGATTTCTTTGGAATCAAATTGGCATTTATGACGGATACTAAACCGTCTCTGTACATAATACGAAATAATTTTAAAAAGATCTTTCGATTTTCGGAAATGCTCTCTTCAGATAAATGTCAAAATTGTATCTACTCGCTTAAACAATAAACAGTGTTTCTCGAACACACTTTTCCATAATATGGTAAGATACTTCTTCTAAACACAACTTAACGAAAAATTCTTCTCATATAATTTGCTAATATAGAATTTCAGTAAGGATGCAATTACTTTGTATTCTAACTAACGAGAAGCTCTATCCAGGTGTGAAACTCCGATTCCGTTCATTCATATGTCATTCGATAGAGTATAATGAGATAGTCAAAAACTAAAAATATTATTGACCACCAAGTCTTCTTCGAGACATAGTAGTCATTTTACCGAAGTTCTAGCCTATGGTATTGATGATGTTTCGACCGGAAATCTTATCTACAAGTAGGCCAACCTATAACTAGAATATCCCGAAAACTTCACGTCAAAAGAATGTTTCCTATCTTGAAATAGCGAACTGTCAATATTACTCATATTCTACGAAAATTCTACGAAAAGATTGGAACATGTCATGTTTTTTATTTAAAAATTCAATATTTCACGAAGAAAACATTCTTTTGACTTGAATTTTTCAGGATATTCTAGTTACAAGTGGGCCTCCATACCATAGGCTAAAACTTCAGTAAAATGACTATTGTGTCTCGAAGAAGAGTTGATGGTCGATAATATTTTTAGTTTTTGACTACCTCACTATACTCTATCAAATGAGATGTTAATGAACTGAATTGGAGCTTTACACCTGGATAGGGTTCCTTGTAAGATCTTTTTGTCGACTTACCTATTATAGTAAATTACTTGACATATTAATTATTATATTTAATTAGAAAATGAACATGATTATTTTCAAATAATGAAATCATATTTAAATGTCAAAAATCTCTAAAAGATTGATTTTTACCAATAGTAGTATTTATCTTTTATTCAGAGTTTAACTATTAAACCATAGTAATGCACATATGAAGAAACCATATTAACTTACGTTCTTTTTTTTACTTGGATATGATAAAAATGTGTGTTACGAAGGTTAATAATATAAAAGTGACTTTGCGCGATAAGAATCCACTATCAACATACTACCTTTATACAAGGATACCATACTTAGATGATGATTTAAGGCTGCCATTATCTGATGTAACATTTGCAGAAAAGTTCAAGGTATTAGTAACCATTGATATCAAAAAGAAGATTTTATGTTCCTCTATAAAATAAAAACAAAAATGATAAATTCAGAAAAAAATGGTAAACTTGAAAATGCACAAATGCATTCATATTAAATGGAAGTTAATGCAACACTATTTTGAATATTAATAAGACTTTTAAAAAATCATTCCATCAATGAAATGACAACTTTGTTATAATAATAAATTAGACCTTTGTGTTCTTTTGCTCTGTTATAGAATATTTAAAACGATACTTTTCATTTTAATATAATCATAAAGTACGCAATAACATTTATAGTTGACTCAAATGGAAGGTACAGTAAATATTTTTCTCGTATACTAAAAATTAGTGTTTCATCTTCATATCAACGTTAAGATCTATTTTGATATCATAGCAATTTTTCACAAGTCTTTCTTCTTCAAAATGTTGCGAGACGTGTTAAACGGGTTTTTTTTTGGGTTTTAGAAGACTGTTTCTCACTGTATGTGTTACTTTTTACAGATGATATTAATTGTGTCAAATTATTTGTGTTCGACATTTTCTCTTCTTATTATTCACAAGATGAAGATTGATTTAGAAAAGATTTCAATCAATCGTTTTCTCATTCAATTCTGAGCATGATGATTAAACATTACAGTAATAAAAATGGTTTATTAAAAATATATTTTATTTAATTGTTGCTTATCAATTGATATCTCACATTTTTTTTTCTAATTTGTGTAGTCCAGCTATCATCCGAAACTATTATGGAATACAATCTACTGAGATGTACGCTTTTCTACTAGATATGTTTCCAAAGGCCGAAGTATCGAATCGGAACATAAACAATCGAAACCAATAATCGACAGCAAAAATTCGGCAATATAACTTTCTTTTGTTGTCTTTTATTGTATAATAAGAGCACAACATGAATTGCGTTTCTGATCATCAAGTTCTTGCAAATAGCTCTTTGGTATGTTATTCTATCCAGAAAAGAGAAAAAAAAAGAGACGGGAAGAAAAAAATCTTTGTCATAGAGGAGAACGGAAAATAATATACATATCAGTCCACCATATTATACTTTGTATCGCATTATGCATCACAACAGAGGCGACAGCATAAAACGTTACATAAATTGCTAGCTTCATATATGCTCTACACATCTCAAAATACAACATATCCATCGTTTCTTTAAGATACTTTTTTAACTCAACGATGACGATAATACGATATTATTTTATTTCACTTATTTTAATGTTCATTAACGTACTCACATTATCCAGCAATAAATTATCATCGATTTCATTACAACATAACTTATTTAATCAACAAAAAATTGTATTAAGAAGTAAAATAAAGAATGATATTTCTCGAATCAAACAAACACTGGAATCAATTTATTCTTTATTTAACTCACGAGATACTTATCGTAAACATAATAATATGCTTAGAACTTTATGGACTTGCTGTCCTCAACAAAGAATTTACATGTTCGACATACGAAATGGTCATCAAGCCATGTTAGGAAGAACTGATTGTCACAATTTCATCCGAGATAATAGAACTCGTCTTACAAGACAATGCCAAAACACCTTAAAATCATTCGATCCAACACATGAAGGCATTTACATTTGCGATGGTCGCTTACTTCGTAATCTTGCTGATAAATACGTTTTCGTGGTAGAATTATTAAATTACACGACAGAATGGTGTATTGATGGTCTTTATCCTATGCTCATCTATTCGGATATAAATCAGATTTTACCATGTGAAAGAGCTATTCGCCAAGGACTAAGAAAAGATTCACAATCATATGCTATATATGATGCTCTCAGTAGCGATATACTTGATGTATATGTACGAAATTTACATAACTATCGTAATTGTGGCGACCCTAATTTTTGGGATAAGGAAGACTATGAAGAAACTGATACATCAATATCAATGTTTGAGTACAGAAAATAGCTGTTACGGACTTAGCCTTCACACATTCTTGTTTCTTTCTTCATATACATACATTAGTGTTATGGAATGTTCTAACAATTCTTTTTTGTCTTTTCTGTTCTGTTCTAGTTGTGTGTATGTGTCTGTTCCTTCTCTTTTTTCTGTAATGTATATGTCAGCGTTCAATCTCAGATCGATTTAAACGTCACATCTAAAGTAAAATATCTCGAGGGTGAGTATAGCTATCAAGATAACCTAGAGATATTTTGAAGTTGCAAAGAATCTTATCAAGTGGCATGAAGCATTGTTATGAATGACTTATCAGAAAGACAAACTATATATACAATATCTAATTTCACACAATATTTAAAGTGGAGTGTGAGGATGCACTAAAAAAAACTCCGCACAATAATAAACCTTTAAAAGGTTTATAAAAGTGCAATGTATAACAAACCCTTGTCTGCCGTTTATGAGAGCATTGTAAACCCTATACAAAACCTCCAACAAAGAGTATATGGAACGGTTCATCATAATCATCTACGGGTAACTATAGGTTTATAAAAAGATTCATAACTTTCATCAACGCTTTAAGGGATTGTTATACGTTGCATTTTCATAAACCTTGAAAAAACGTTTATGTAAGACATAAGCCCATTCATAAAGTTTCCCAATGGGTTCTATAGAAGGGTATTTGCAATACATATACCTTAGAATGAATGTGGAAAAGGGTATATAAACGGTTTTTTTTTATTTCCATCAACATTACCTTGAGTACATGAGAACATATATTGAGAGGCATCTACCTATGATAAAACTCATTTGGATTCATGAAAAGGTAGATACATGGGTACAATCTTACTCATGATATCCGTTCGGGTTTATAAAAGAAAAGATAGACGCGTATAATTTCAGTCATAAAACCCACTGAAGTTTATGAAAGGATAGATAGATAGGCATAATCTCACTCACAAAGCTCATTAGAGCTTACAAAAAGAAGATGGATAAGTGCAGTTTCGATCTCGAATTCTAATAGGATTTCGAAAGGAAGTATGAGTAATACTACTTAGGGTGTACCAAAAGTTCTGATCACGGCGTTTAAAGGACCTTGTCGGATAAGGAGACGTATTCAGAAATGAGAAACAAAATAAACCATGTTGTAGAGCTTTTCAAGGCGCCTCGAATGGCATATAGTAAATTCTATTTTTATTAGATTTTGAAGTAACTAGAGTCAATTTACTGACTGATGACTACACATCCGTACCCACCTCCACCGACATCCACATCCACAAGATGACCGGAGACGCTACGTATATGAGGTTGTGGCCCGTCAAAAGTTCTACAAAATCGTATGTGAGAAAAAATATTTTAGAAATACTTTCGATTAATACCAAGAACCACAATATTCATTAACTTATCATGCTTGAGTATGAGTATCGGTGTGGATGTGTAGTTATCTATCAGTAAATTGACTCTAGTTACTTCAAAATCTTAT